TCGGTGTTTTGTACATATGTCGAAACATTAAACATAATGAATTGACATTACTTAACATTATTTTTAGCAAATTTTAATAAAAGTTGATGAAATATGTAATTGAAAAGTCGCGAATTCAGTTAAAATTAATTATTAACTTTAAATTAAATTTTAATCCATATTGAAGAGGGGCTTAACTAATTATTTCATACAAAATTGATTGACTTGAATCGAGAACCCGTGAAACCTAGACAAATAGACTCCAATCTTGTTCTCGTGAGCTAGTCTGTGCTAGCCAATACTTCAAGGTAGGTAGCTAGCCGGGTCCATGTCCAGTTGGAGTTGAATGAATAAGTGAAAATAACATAACCACATTAATTCTATTAATTTATTATGAAGCAACGTCACAAAAACATGAATTTAAAAATTATAAATTCTGTGTCGACTATAAAATAAAATAGAGTATTTAAACGTCGAACGTGGATTGATGTAACAGTGTTGGTGTTGCGATAGTGGGAGGACCACATGGTCCACTCTCTGTTTCAATCTAAATAATTTATTCACAAAGAAACCAGCTGTTAATGATTAATTTATTTATTAAATTAATTAGGTATTAGATTTCCCAATCCACGCCATCTAAGCATATTTTAATAAAGAAATGTCTTCCATTATTATTGAAGATATTAAGGGTGCATTTTTCAAGTCATTTCCACTTTTGTAAAATATTGAAAACGTGTTGTTCTGTTATTTCTAAAAATGCATTTTCAAAAATAAGGATAAATTTATAACATAAAATTCAAATCGTATTTTTGATTTTTCAGTGAAAATTCTGAAAATACTCAAAACATGGAAAACAAGCGTTTAAATAAAATTTAAAAATATAAATATAAAATTATAACAAAGCTTTTGTTTCCAACTATTTGTGTTTAATCTTTTAAAGATCGCTTCGGATATTGATCGGAAAAAATGAAATGTCAAAAGGTTGAATCGGGATTAAACTGAAGTTGAACATTTAAGGCGAATTGACCATTCTTGTTGTGAATTGGTCGATGTTCGCCTTGTTCTTGTGTGATTTCTTCTTGTTTTTCTTGTAGTCTAATTGGTTTTTGATTTTTTGATCGATATGGTCCAATTTTGACGACATTTGTTGGTAGACAATATTTCAACATTTACGGGAACAATTTAAGACTTTATTCTACTTAATATTAGCATGTCGTAAGTCATTAGTTGTAAACCACACCAAATCGAGATCACATTCTTTTTTAAAAGTCAATCTTCCTAATCTAATCCAAATTTTTTTATCAAAATTATTACACGCGTCGTCTCATGAATCGTCATAAAAAGATACAGCGTGATATAACACAAAGTTCGTAGCCAATTAGTATATGGGATCTAGCGGGTTCGTTGGTTTATTATATTAGAGGTGTTTAAATAATTATTAAACGACAAAGCCTTTCCTAAAGAGAGATTAAGCGCTGATATTAATACTTAGGATATTAAGAAGATCACATAGTATATTCGATCGAGGATTTGGTCGACTAATGACAAGATTTTCATTGATTTTGTTAGGGTTTTGTATGGTAACGAAGTTGATTATTGAATCTACCAGGAAAATGGAGCTTTCATGTGCTGCGTTTTGCACTTTGCATGGGGAAACCATATTTTATTTTTTTTCAACAAGGGAATTGAGTCCATCTTTGTGATAATTATGCTTAAAATCAAAACTCATTTGCCTTACAGAATTAGATGCGTGAAATAAGTTACTTTTTTCATGGCTAGATTCACATTCAGTACAATTCCAACATGGATCATTTCTCAATAAACTACAAGGGGTGACCTCAATCGAGATTGTGATGGATTTTAAAAATCATTCTAAATTTAAGTATCATCAATTGAGATTTTAATGAAATTCAATGATTTTTTTAAAATTTAGACATCCTCAATAATTAGTGGATTTATAAAATTTTCATAAACAGATGAATTTTAAAATATTTGGATGGATTTCAAATTTAAAAATATATATAACCAATTTTTTTGAAATTTCACCATATTTGATGAAATTCTTATGGGATTTGTGAAAATGTATTCACATTCACAAAACTCATTAGGATTTATAATATTTTAAAATCCATCAAAATGTTAGTCGATGACAAGTTACAACAAGTTTTTTGCATTGAACTAAAAGGTCAACCTAGCGAGTAATGACCACAAATTCGAGTTGTTGGGCGGCTTTAAACATTTTTTTAATTGAAAATATTATTGAGCCGCTAAGTTAGGACATATGCCATTTGATGATTCTTTGATGATCCAATCCTATCTTGATCATGTCCAATTATCACGTTAGACAATGGGTCCATTTGTATATAATAATCGCATTGTAGCGGGTATAATTTAGTGATAAAAGTTGTCATACCACAAACTTTTTTGGTATAATTGGGCTTGACGTATAAATTTCTTATTCGTGCTAGGCTAGCAAGGAAGGTGAAATGTTTATTACATAAGTTTCGAATGGATAATTAGTATGAAATATATATTATTGGCAAGAGAAATAAAAGTCTCAAAAACAAAGTCAATATTAATTGAGAAGCTTCCACTAACCTACAACCCCTTTCCTAATGGATTAATCAGGATGATAATAATTAATACAGGAAAGTAATTGAGACGATAGAGATGGTTAAAAGGTAGTTATATTGAGAGGAAATTGTGGGATATATCCCATTTTAACACTCCATTTGAAAAATGGCCAAATATTGAAAGGTTTGAATCCATGACTATTTTTAGAAAAAATGTACGAAAATATCTTTAATTTTTTTTTTTTTTTTTTCAATTCTCAACTAGATCCCAAAATCCTTTTGTCTTTCTCAATCATAAAATATATGTGTTTCTCACTCAACTTGACCATACCGTTCGTCCATTCGACGACATCTCGCCCACAAAATTTGTCACTATGTCACCTCCGCCATCTCGTTTTTTCATGAGAAAAAGACACAAACTGACTCCAAACTAATCGATCATTTTCTTTTTCTTTTCCTTTTCTTCTTGCATTTCTAAATTTTCAAAACGGGTCTCTCGTTTTAGTGGCAACAAAGGAGTGCTTCTTGGGGAGGAGAAGTTGCTGAAAGAGTAAAGATTTGGAGGTTTTCTTGGAATTATATTATAAACATTGTGAAAAATAAGAACATGTTAAATTTTCGTTTGTCGAATAACGTGGAAAAATGTAGAAATCTTGTTCTATATTTTCTTTTTTCTTTTCCATTTTTCATTTATTACGTAAATTTTATCTAATTTTTGTTCGCATTGCACGATGTTTTTGTACATTGAAATCCTCGTGTATATACATGTTAAAAATGTAATTCTTTTAACTGTTTGTTAATTGA